TGGGATGATTCAGCTGGACAAGCATCCAAATTATCTCAACAGGTAGGTGGCCAGGAGCATGCCCTGCCCCCCAGGGCCACCCAGAGGTGTCTGATGACTGATTGAGGCATCATGGATCTCCAGCAGGTCATCTGTAGACCATGCTGTCCTGCTTTTTGGTCGGCTCTGCTATACTAAACTGTAGACAATACCTGTACAGTTTTTAGCAAATCTGGCATCCCCATAGTAACCCGGAGCACATCGTTCGCACTTGAACCCGGTGGTGTTGTGCAGGCAGTTGCGGCACTGGCCGGTCACTTCATCACAGTCTTCAAAAATCAGGTTTGGGTCCGAGTTGCCACTGCAGTCACATTTTTTACAAGTGCTTCCAATTAGCAAAGGGTTCCCATAGTAACCGGGGGCACACCTGAAAGGAAGAGCAAGCCCAGTGTTGACGAGCGATGACATTCCCATCTGCCGTACCATTTTTTCTCTGACCTTATTCATGTCACCAGGAATTGATGACAGTCTGCAGCTACTAATGGACAGAAGGCAAATTAGGATCTGTATTCCTGCAGAGGCTGTTTTGTGCCTAATATCAATCCGTACAGTTATATATTTTTCCCTTCTTGAATGCTCCTGGTTTCTCAATTACACCAGTCTGCATTTTTTTTTTTTTTTGGTGTGTCTTTAGCAGTAAAATGATTTGTTCCCCATTGTTTTAAAATCTCTGACAGAATGACTTTGGCAGAGAGACAGCTCTAGTGTTTATTCTGATCTCTTTCAGCTTTGGATCTCACCAACTATATTGTGCTATATAGGAAACTGGAGTAAGAGACTGCATTTCATGATGCTGAAACTCAGAGGAAGTTCAGACATTATTTCCATTACAATGCATATAAAAAAGTACTGACCAGGAAAGATTTATATAAATACTTCTATGGTGAGGCATTGAGATGGCTTCTGTTTGTTGCAAAACAGAAAAGGCACTGAACCAGCCTCCATTTTTCAGATTTGTTTGATGTTTGCCTGCTGGCTGAGGGCAAAAGGCTGAGAACAGCCACCAGCCCAGGAGGGGGCTGTTGGCTGGCAGAGGGAGAGAGGGAGGTGAGTAACAAGCACCACAGGGAAGGCCTGAAATGGGTCCAAATTGCTTGTCATGTCTTGTCATGTTTGGAAAGCATTTCAGTTGAAAACCTGCTACATCTTAAAACAGAAGAGGTTGAAACTGTTGTGGTTTTTGAAAGTCTAGACAAACCAGCAATATGTAACATTCCTGGATGACGAGTGGCCCTAAGCTGAGACAACAGGTAATAGATTTGTTGTCATCATTTGGAAAGAAAGGAGAGGGTCTCAGGTAAAGGAGTTTCTGTTGGTAGGAGGGGGTGTGCTTAATCCTACAAGCTAGAGGAACATTTGCAAAACAAGTAGTGAGGTGAACAGAGCTGGCACCAGAGAGGGCACGGAGCAGCTCGTGGGAGCAAATCCTTGAGCAAGGGCTTTGCTGGAGGAGCTGGCAGCTGGAGGAACCTGGAGCATTGGCTGATGGACTGAAGAGGTCAGCTGTCAGGGCAGGGGCAACCTACGCCACTCGTAGTGTCACTGTGGGGTGACAGCAGGATCCATGACCCAGCAGCCTGGGGTGCAGAGATCAGGGACTCATACCCCCAAAGCAGGAACGAAGAATTACTGCAGAGAGGGGGATAACTAGATGTGTAGCAGTTCTGACTGAGGAAACCAGAGGATGGAATAGTTGTTGCAGTGATTTAGATAAGGAGGAATTGTATTTCATCCTGTTTTATCACCCTGTTGTCCTTGTCTTTTCTCCCATCCATAAAGTCCTATTTTAAGATTCTGTTTGTTCTGCTGTTTGTGGGCAGGGAGGGTGAGCTCTCAGGCAGTTTAGTTTAAGTTTCCCAAGTTCTGACTGGGGACCTGAGCTGTGGTCTGTTGTCTCCTAAAATCTGAACATAGTCAAATCCAACTTCTGCTCTGTCTGAACGATGAAAATGTGGGAAATCTGATAAGAGCTTCCAGTTTTGATCTGTTCCTCTATTTGCTGATTTTTTTTTTTAAATAAAGAATGTAATTTCCTCAGTGCTGCTTTGTTCATGTTCCAGTCCTGAACCCCCACAGTAAAAACACATAAAATTTTAAGCATCTTAATATGAACCACTTGGCTGCCTCAAATACTGCCTTTGCCAGTGACAAAGACTCTGTTTGTCTCTTTGCAGCACTGCCAGAATCTTTGGTGCAAATCTTATCATTTGGGCGACCCAGATGTAAACAATAAAAATGTGAGCTGGAGATCTGTGCACCCCTCAAAGAACAGTGAATGAGACATTGAGCACAGAGTGTGATTTAACTGACTTTAGTGGAGTCACTCCCCATTCCTATGGGAGTTAGAGCAGGCAGTGATGGGTAATACTATTCAGTCATGCCAAAAGTCTTGCTATAATTTTTTACTATTTCAGCCAATGTGAGATAGTAGTATTTTCCCAAATTTCAGAATTTCAGCATGCTTATGAAGTTTGAACAAGAAAAAAAACTCTCTGTGTTTTTGAAAAAAAATCTGTAGAACCATTTGATTTATTCTGAACTCTCAAAATCTTGCAGAGTTGCCTTTTAATTTTCTGTAGTTAGGTATTTTCCAAATGATTGCCAGTGTAATGTGGCCACCAAGTCACAGAAGGCACTGAGCAGTGCTGGGGCCACACCAATATTTTTACTGCTATCCAGCTCTGGCTTTCAGCCAGCATCTACCAAAGACTGCATGCTATTCCTATCAGGCCCACAATGTCTGCCCTCTCATCAGGACAAGGTGATTTTTTTTCTTCTTTTCGGAAATATGCTATTCAGTTCAATTGCCAGAAATTTAGTGGACAGTTCCTCAAATCCTCACAGATATATTTTGTAAGTAAGTGCTGCTTTTTATGACCATCTGACTCACTTTTATTAGCCATATCTCTTCATCTGGAGTAGCTGTCTAAAACAAATAGAAACTTTTAGAGCTGAAAATAAATGTGTCACCTTCACTTTCCCCTTCCCTTTGCCACTCATAGGGCTGAACTGCACGTGGACTCTTTTGAATAGTTGGTAGCATGTAAGAAAAGCAGAGGCTGCTGGATGGAAACATACTACTCCATCTCTGCACTTCATGGCCTGAAAAAGTAGAGGCCTGCATTAAATGTCTTTCCCTCCGTTGTATCAATAAATGGCTCTTTGTTGCTAACAAAGAGTATTTCCTCTCCCATAATAAAGCTTTAACTTATCTTTGTTTCATTCTGCAGCCATGTTTGCTTCCTGTAATTATCGGTGAGTAAGAAATTAACTTCCTCTTCCCTGGCAATGCCAAAAGAACCTTTTTCGTCTATTCATTTTGGACACTGAAGTATCATTTGTTCAGTTATCTTTTTTAACATTTGGACATTAATAAAACCTGCATTTCATCCGCTGACACCTTAATATCTTGTTGCTGAAGTCCAGGAGCAAAATGACTCACTCCTAAATTTTGAATTGGGAAGCTGGTTTTCTCAGTTCCTAGGAAAGGCCTCCATGATTTCACAACACTGTTTGCTGGCAAACATAAACTGGATAGGTTTGTGCCAAGCCCCTGGAGCAGCACAAGAAAGCCTCCTACATGAATGCCAAAGGAAATGGAGCAGATTGCCTCCCGGAGTGCTGCTCTCCATGGGGACACGAGCTGCTATTTGGCCTGCAGGGAGGGATGGGGGCAATGCCCCTTCTTGCTCCGGATCCCCCAGTCCTCCTGCCAGCATGCTGATGACATGATAGCTGCCAGTGGGAGCAAGGAGTGCTGGTGGTGCCCAGCAGCAGCATATGTGAGGCAGGGACTTGCTCTTTAGCAAGTGGACAGGGACAAGCAATGCATTTATCATTACTTTTCGAAATGCTTTTCATGGTTTCTGACACAGATGGGAATAGGACCAGGAGCCTACCGGAAGGAAAGTCTGGTTTGTCACTGCTCGCCACTTACCCCAGCAGTTAGTCAAGGGCTTAACATGGTGACCAGGACAGGCTGATTTCTTTCTGTAGGTTTTTCTAACCCATCTACACAAATTTGCCTTCCTTGAGACAGATGCTCTGTGTCAGGCTGGGTAGTAGATATTAGAAAACAACGCTGATGCTGTTTTCTGCTGTTACTTTGTCTGCTACTCATTTCATAGGATTTGAATTGCTTATCGTCTAGGTTGACATTTTAATAACCATTAGGAAACCTCACTGACCTTTTAATTGTCTGCATTATCCTTTGTGTATAAATCTGACATTTTGGAAGAACAAAAGAATACAGCCATAGGCCTAGAAACAAGGGTGGGTTTTTTTATTTTTGTGCCATCTGTCTAAAGGGCTTTCACTATTGCTGTCACTGTGTTAGTGATGCAAAGGTAATAGGCTGTTGGTTTTGCATCATCTGTAAAGGCAAAATCCTTCGCTCTTCTTTTCATCTTACCTTTTTCATATTGATTTCAACTTTTTCATATTGATTTCTCTTTGCATCTTAAGCACCCCCTTTCTCCCTTCTCTGATAGTTACATTAAATATCATTTGAATTCAAGACTTGCCCATTAAAGACAGTGGACTGAAGTCTTAAATACTTCAGGGGCTGTAAGGAAAAACAAAATAAGGTGTTCAGGAAGCCAGTCTTTGTGTTAGAGCTGTTTTTGGCTGCTTAAAGAGAATTCCTGAATTATAATCCAAGAATCCATGTATGTTCATAGAGTGTAAGAGGGCCCTTTACAAGATAAGAGATTAAATTACATTTCTGCTGTATTGCTCTGTTTATTTGTGTACTTTGTTATTTAGAGGATATTTACGGCCATAAGGGAAAGCTGAAAAGAAACACTTGCCTATGGTTGTTTGCTTGACTTTATTGAATTATATCTGTGAAGTACATTTAAAATTTAACTAAAAAAGCTGCATCTGCTCATTAAGAATTTGACTAGACAATGGATTTTCTCCTTTGCTTTTAAAAAATTTATTTGGTAGAAGCCTGCTATATGCTTTAGAATGGTGAATTGCAAGAGGCATCTGTGTGGTGGTTATTTTTCACTTCAGCTGCTGTTCCTGATTTGTATTTTGTATTTTGATTTCTAAATTGAATTGCTTTTAGGAAGATCACCACATGAAGGTACACAAAGTGCAAGAACTTGACCACAATACATCAGATGTAAATGTCTGTCTTGCCCTGACATGTCTCCACAGCAGGTTCTTGTGTTTTTTAGTAGGAACTGAATGAGAACCTTTAACAGACATGATTCAACCTGATGAGAACACATGCACAAGATTTCTCCCCCATATAGGAAGATTCCCTCAAAGACACCTGGACTTCAGTATTGTTGACCAGTAAGTCATCCTGTTTGTTTCTTACCTTTCACAGTTGGGTCCTGCATAGTTTTCCTTACAGACACAGCGCACACTTCCACTTTTTCTATAACAGGAGACTGCAAAGCTGGAATTTATTACAATGAATAGTTAGAATAGCAGGCAATGGTAAACACTTGGGAGTATTACTTTATAACACTATGGACGTTTGCTGTTAGTGTGAGCTCTGGCTGTTGGTTACTCATTGCTGAATAGGTGTTCTTAAGCTCTGTATGCTATTAACATTATACCCCTTGATTAGTCTTTTTGATTAGTGTAGAAAGCACTAATTAGTATATAGCACTATGGAGCTATATACAGATATGTGTAAGTTCTTGTCTTGCGATGTAGATCAGGCACACTTGGAGGTTTTGATACACACTTTTTAGGTAAGGGACTTAGGATAAATGTATATGTCATGTGAACCTAATTGCTTCCTGTCTCTTATTCTAAGGGGTAAAATATTGCTTATGAAAGACACCACAGTGAGCACTTCAGGAACTGAGATTCTGGAATGGGTGCAGCAGTTTCCTGTGCAAATCCTACAGTTTTCCTCAAATCCAGTCTCGAAGTACTGAGTGGTGAAAACTGACCTCTGTGATGCCATCCTCATTTACTGCTCTACCATCTCTTTGAGTAAGCTAGAAAGAGTCTGGGGCCTCTTCTGTAACCAACATGCCAAGCAGTGACATTGATTGCAATAACGGCTTGGGCTGCAATTTTCACTGCTATGATTCTAAATCATGGATTCCTTTGCTTTCTTATGTTTTCAGGATTTAATAAATTTAACTAAATATGAGACCCAAGGAACAGCAGCAGCCAGATGTGGAAAGTGCAAATTGTATACACTTCAAACACAGTGACGGACATGGCTTAAATACATTTGCAGGAAAAAGATATACAGTCTTAAAGATGTTTCCACTTAGTTTGCAATATGTGTGAGTAAATTCCTGCCAGCACTGGAATGCAACCAGATAGTGAGTGGCAGCGGTTGCCAGCTGCAGGCCCATGGTTGCTAAAATAAAGGTCCTGAGTCGTACAGTGCTGGACAGCTGTGGCCAGGTTGCACCCCTTTCACACAGAATGACAAAAGACTCAGAGGGATGGGAAAGAGCATGATCTGTGCGCTGCTTGTTCCAGGAACGAGCAGTGTTGAAAGGTGACAAGAATTCCTGCATGATTTCAGTTCCCACCAGCATTTGTCAGCTGGTTGAGCAACTAGGGTTAAATAAATCTATGTCTGGATCACTGCTGTCTCAAAACATTCAATATAACCAGAGAGAACATAAAATGAGATTCTTCTCACAGAATTCACAAATTAACTTCTGTAAAGCTTTTATGAGAACATATTGAGAAAATCATAACAGTTTGGCAGCCTTCCTCTTCTTTTAGAGAGGCTAATTCCTTCACGTAGTTGAAAAAACCACATTGTGGATTTAAATGATGAAATAAGACTGAGGTCTTGCTGAAGTTTTCTGTGTTTTGTGATCTTTTAAGAAGATAATTCCCTCAGATTTGAAAAGAAGTAACATCTGCTGGACTGTGAAGCAATCTCCAGCCTCCTTCTTTTATTCCAAAGACATGATGTTACACTTCATGTGTGATGTCCAAAAGTTATACCAAAAGTTCCCAGAATAGCTGATACGAAGATAGCTGATATGGTCAGAGAATCTAGAGACACACAGATGAATCCCAAGAAAAAATATGTGTTTTATGAGTCTGTCAGTTTAAAGATTTGGTCACTTTGACTAACTTATGAATTCACTGGCTATTTTCAAAGCAAAACAGAGTACAAAACAACATCCTTTGGATTTCCTTTATTTACAGCTTGTAATGCTTCTCTACTTTCTGGTAAAGTTACTGTTTTGCCTTGGTATAAATGGAGTAGGATTAATGGAGGAAAAATTAAAAAAAAAAAAAAGAAAGAACATTTGTTCTTTGACTTTAGTTATGCAAAGCTGAATGTTGCTCAGTTATTATTAGTTGCCTGTTCCAGCCCCAGCTGAAGGCTATTGCTGTGGTCAGATGTCTCTCATGCAAGAAGCTGAACAGGCAATTTCTGCATGTTATTTAAATACGGCTAAGAGGCAAATTGGGATTGGATAATCCTTTAACTATTGCCTTCAGGACTTTTCCGAGGGAAAACCCTGAAAAAATAAAGTAGATTTTTACTGAGGTAGTTTTAAAGGGGTGACATGTCACAGAACATAAAATAGCCTAAGATGGAAGGGACCCACAAGGATCATCAAGTCCAACTCCTGTACTGCTGCTGATGTTGAAGCATCTGCATTCAGGCTCCTTGCAACTTTTGTTCTCCCTTCCCAATCCCACACTGCTGTCCTTTTGGGTTTGGGGCTTCCTTATCTCTAGTGGTCTGGAATAGGAGAGGTGTTATATCCCTAGCAGAAGGGCTAAAGAGCATCTTGAAGCAGGAAATGCTGCTTGGCCTCTGTGCCCATCTCCCATAGCACTGGCAGAGATAGCCTGTAGCTCAGGTCCCTGCTGGTCCCACTGCACCAAGCCCTGCTGGGCTGGTGGGCCGGCTGGCTCCCTGCTGTCAGGGGGCACTGCTGCAGAGTGGGCAGGCGGCTGCAGGACTGGGCAGGGGGCTGGGTGAGTGCAGACCCAGACATACTTTGTCAAATTGCACTGTAGGAAGGACAGACCAGACCTTGCTTGACTGACTATGCTTTGTAGAGACTGGGTCTTGTGTCACAGTGCCTTAGGCATGTGCAGCCCAGGCTGTGGTTGAGAAAACATCTCCTTATGCCAAAGTGGCTGCTCTGTGCCCGATAGGTTAAAAAAATATCACTTTCCTTTGCTAAGGAAAAAGCACTGCTTCCAACTGTTGTATTTCTACTATTTCTGGCATTACAGATGCTACTGAAAGTGGAGGAAGCGGTCTGCTTCATCCGTGACCTCGCTCACTCCTAAGCCTTTCTATATGTGAGCAAAGCCAGGTTCTTCCCCTGTCTCTGGAGGATTTTTTCTCTAACCTGGGCAAAGCTGCAGTTTTTCAACAATAGCTGTTCTCCACCCTATGGCCCCCCTCACATGTCTGCAGCTCACTGTGGAAGCCAAGAGGCGATCTGCAGGAGTTTGGCCAGAGTGATTTTGCTCCATTGCCATTTTGAGCCTGTGCCACTGAGCAGCTGAGCAAAATGCAGCTCATCCCACCTTAAGGCTATATGAGTAATCCTCTAGCAACCGCAAACAAATACAGTGAGGAAATTCCCCTTTGCTGAGAAGCCCTGCTGAAAGCAGAATGGGAAACCACATAAGGGCAGTACGTGGCTCACTAAAAAATCGTTTCAACCCATTGGCAAGTATTTACTAGCATTTCCTTTGTGCACTTTAGTGGGACTTACATAGATGCCTCTCTCCCAGAGCAGGGACTTCAAGCAAGAGGAAGCTGATAATTTCTTTCAGCTGCATTACTGACATACCACTAACAGTTTCTAATAGGTGGTCATGGTTTGTAGTTATTCGTTTCTTCTGAAGGCACAAAGTAGATAACAGCTGGAGATATTTGGCTTGGTCTTGGCTTTTTGTCAGGCTTCAGAGTACCTTCAGAGGTACCTGGGCATCAGCTGAAGGGGCACCGTACCTGTCACAGGGTCCTCCAGCCCCTTCCTTTTAACTGTTTCTGTACTAACCATATCCAGCTGCTTTTGACTCAGGAGACTGCCAGGCTATGCTATTTTGCAGTTGGTTTTACCCTCCAGAAGTCATGGATTGATCTGTCTGTCTCAGCCACATATATCCCTCATGCCACCTTCCTTGGAAATTGGTCTTTAAGGGATTCTTAAAAGTAAATAGACAACTGAATAATCTCTGCTACACAAAACAGAGTAACAGTTGAATTTGCTCAAATATTTTCTTCTCCTTCTTGGTAAGAATTGATATATGCAATTGAGGAAATTAAATGTTATTTCCTGTGGTTATAAATGTGAGCAGCTGGTAGTCCTCCCATTTTCCTCCAGTTGGCAACAGCAGCAGCCTTTGTATCCTGCATCCAGGAAGAGATGCTGACCCCACCTTGGAAAGGGCCAAAGTCAGCCCATATCAAAGAGAAGTAAAGACTCTTTACATACTTGGCAAGTGCTGGCAGGGGGCAAGGGCAGGGCTGGCAGAACGTGGGCACTCCTCTGACAACATCACCAATGAAGCCGTCTGGACACTGCTCGCAGTGCTGTCCTGTTGTGTTTCTCTGGCAGTCCTTCAGTGAAAAGAGAGAGAGTGGTGAAAGTTAAATGGAGGTGCTGCCTAATTCAGAAAAAAATAATTAACTGAAGACCTAGCCAAGCAGAATAGGGGCTGATGCCGGACCCTGACCATTCAAGGTGCTGACAGATGCAAATAAAAACCACTCCTGCAAATAAAAATGCTATAAATGATTACACTGGTCAGCCAACAAGTGCTGGCAAGATGCAATACAGGACAGAACAGACATATGTGCCTGCCAGGTGCGGGAGCAGAAGCAGCACTGCCGGTCATCAGAGATGTCAGAGGTAGTCAGATGTAGCCAGCAGCCCTGTTTTGGATTGCATGTGCCAGCAGGAAAAAAAATCCCTTTTACTGCCACCAAAATAAAATGAAAAATACCTGCTGGTAAACACTATCAACAGATTTCAGCCTAGATACAGGTTTTCAGTGAGACTGCTTCTTGGACTCAATGACTGGAAAAGAGCATCAGGGGAATCTGCCTGCAAATGGTATGTAGTACACCAGTGGCTCTGATGTTTTTCTCCTGAGACGAAGTGTTACAGCCTGAAGGGGTCTGTTATTACTACACCTTGTTCTCAGCCTTAAAGGAGGTTCACTTAATGGAGGGAAGAAGCAGGAGTCTTCTATAAGTGGCCTTTCTGTAAAATGTAGAGCAACTGTGCAAAATGTCGCTCACTTTATGAGCAAGTTTCATCTCCACGGTTTAATGTTTGTGAGGAAATATGCTTCCTCATGCAGAGCCAAACTGGCCACCAGCTGATATTGTGGGGGCTCTGTGGAAGTAAATCAAACTGTGGTCATTCATACAGAATATTTGTTCCAAAATATTTCATGATGCTAGATACAAAATTGTGCCTCTCAGGTAACATTTTGAATCACAAAAAAATGTCAAGTTTTGCTGTAAACAATTCTAAATAGAATTTGCAAGTCCTCCAAGCTTAAGTAAGCGTTGTTAGGTCTTTCAGTTTACAAATGTACACACTTAGATGTCACAGGTTATGTAGGCTTTTTTCCTAGGCACATGGCAACGTGCTAGGTGACTGGTGCAGAGTGCATTGCATGCTGCAGGACTCCTGCAGACTCTGGTCCCTCTTTCCAATTCAGGAAAATACTCAGAAGTTTTCATTAAAACCCCCATAACCCTCCAAATTCTAGCTGTCCCACTGCTTTACTTTAAAAGAGTAGGAAGGGTGCAGAAGTGCTTTTCTTTCTTGCAAGTGAGCAATGAATTTTGCAATGTCGCTGAATCAAAACTCTCCAGTTACACCACTTTGTACTGATACAGTACAGATGTGTAAGCTCCATGGCAGAAATATGTGAACTACTCTGTCAGTGCATATTTCCGGTGGTTTTGGGTTAGTGTGATTGATTCTTTCCTCATTTGACCTAAAAACACTGGATCATGGAAACTGCAGATTGATGAGAGATGGTAAGATGACATTGTCTGTAATAAGAAGATCTCTGAGTACATGACTAATCATCATCTGATCCAGGAGCTCTTGCTTCAGTAACCTGCTGTATAATAGTGCAAATAAGCAAGTGTGTGAAAGGGAATCAGAGGACATAACGTATTTGGACTTTCAAAAAAGCCAACTAAATTGTCAGGGGACTTGAAGAAAGTTTCTTTCATGAACTGAAAGCTGATAAAGGCTGGGAAGCAAAGGGTAGGATGTAGCAGTCACTTTCCAGAGTGGGGAAGAGTTACTATTCAGATCACCTAGGCCTTGCTGCTGAGACCGGTTTTGTTTGGTATTCACCAATTTCTTACAAACAGAGACCAAAACTCTAGGGCTGCTCAGCTAGGAGAGAAAGGCTGACAGGAGGGTGTGTTTGTGTGTATGTAAATTTACAAAGCTGGTATTACTATGTAAAATGACAAAGTTGGTAAATAAGCTGAATGCAGGACAATAGTTCGCTCAGATCCTGCAATATAAGAG